TTGTGTACAAATATAGAGGGGGAAACCGCATTTTCTAAAAATTTTTTGGCTCTCGCTCGATAGACAGGAAAAAAAGTTGAATGAGAAAATCGAGTATTATGTAAATTGGAAATGGAATGATATTAAATGATATTAAAATATTAAATTAATAAAATAACCTCTATCTTACGTACACTATAATTGTTGTGTCCGCACTTGCAGAAAGAACATAAATGAAAATAAATAACCCAACATCGGGTTGGATGGTGGCACAGTCGGTTGTGCTTCGGTCTGGGCTCATTCCATGATGGTTCAAACCCATCTCCCATCCAAACAATTTTTCCACAGCATGAATACTCGTATACAATAATAATAATTGTATAATAGATGTCCAAGACTCTCGGCCTTGCATCATGACTCAAGACTTTTCTTGGGGATTTTTTCGGTCTTGGTCTTGGAGAGTAGTCTTGGTCTTGGTCTCGAGCCTTGGAAAATTTTGTGTCATGAACACCTCTATTGTATAATAGAAGACCGAATACTAAAGATAAAGAAATATCCCAATCGAACCTGATTTCAACGGGTCTTAGCGAGTAAACTTCTAATAAGGAATGAGCTTCTTTCTATTAGGGATGGGCTTTTATTATGGGTGTGCTTCTCTATTGTTGATGGGCTTCAATTACAATATTCAAGGTAAGGAGAATAAAATAGTAAGAGAATAGGGACCTTGACAGGTTGTCAACTGGGACAGGTTGTCAATTTTAAACAAACTTAAAGCTCCGTTTAAGTGTTTATCAAAGAGCGGACTTTAACCTTCAAAGTCTCCCCTAAACTTCCATTTATCAAAGTAGAGCTTCCAGACCCTAGAGACCAGACCCTAGAACCACCAGAATAAATTAACTTGAAAGTGTGAAGTAGGTGATTAGAGGTAGCTTAAACTTGGAAAGCTTAGACCTTAGCTGATAAAGGAAGGATTAAAAGTCAGTTTCAACTTAACTTTAAGCTTAAGAGGTATAATAGACGACCCTCCTTATTCGAGGGTCGTATGATATCTCAAAAGATCTCGATTCACGATAACCGAGATAGACGTTAATCTCCACTTACAAAGGAGAGTGCCCGAGGTGTCCGTGGGACTTCGAATTCACAACTAAAGTAGGCATGATTTATCTGTCACCAAATTTCATCCTTAAGTCCCTCGGACACAGGCACTCTCCTTAGTCACTCCAATCACTGCTCATTAGAGATCGAGCTGGACTTGGACCAAGGCCTGGGTTTTTCCTGTACCCAGAGTCCAGGTCCAGGCATTTTTTGACCTTCCTGGGTTTTTCCTGGACTACAGGCCCAGGATCCAGTCCAGGTCAAGAAATCAACTCCAGAGTCCAGGAACAGGTCCAGTTCAAAAATCTCGATCTCTACTGCTCATTACTAGACATTCAATTAGACATTTAAAATAATCCGTCAACAACAATAATAAATTATATTCACAAATCACCTTCAAACTCTCCCCCTCGACTTTCATTTATCAAAATAAGGAAAGCAAATCAGTAGCGATAATAGATTATGGAAAGGAGAATTTTACATAAATATATTTTGCGATATTTGAAAATTTGACCCAATTTTGAGATAAATATACGAAAATTATTATTTAAATATTTGATCTAAATTTATAATAAAACTGGGCGGAAATGGGTAAAAATAAATTTTATTTACATTAAATTATTAATTTGAGTTTTAGGTATATTAAATAACTGGATTTATAGATTAGCTAATGCCCAAAGTTCTCAACTAGAGTTGGCGGGATCGGGATACCGGTCGGGATCGTGCGGGATTATCTCGGTTTTCTGATCCCAAGACAAAGACAAATCATGATCCCGATTTCGGTAAGGTTAAGTCATAAGTGAGACTAGAATTACATATAAGGCACTTCAGGTATAAGGGTAGATTTTTATTATTTCACCAAAATATCTACAAAAATTAGTATGAGGAGGAGGGCTTAATGGGTAAATAAAGCCCAGTGATGCGGAAATTCCAAAATGTGCCCGGTTCCGGAACCGGAACCCCCGCATCAATAATAAAGCCCTATGGGGTCTTCATCGGAGGTCTTAACGGGGGGACATCATGGGGGGGGGGTCTTCATGGAAGGTCTATGTGTGGGGTTTAATTGGGGTGGGGGATCTAGCAGACCTTCATGAGGACAATTATAGAACCGAATGAGCTGTTACAGAAAATTAAAATTAATGAAAATTAAATATTTAAAATGATTAATAAAGTAAAGTGTGCGGTCAATAAATAAAAACAAAAATAATTCAAAAATAAAAATAAATTAATCTGTCATATAGAGACTAATTTTTCTATAAAATATGACCTGTTTTGTGCGCAATATAAAAATAAATTCTCGTGATTTAAAGGAAAGTCAATTTAATTTATTAAAGTTTCCGGTTTATTTGTGGAGGAAAAACGTGATTAATTTAAACTTTGTGGTAAAGCTGAGGATTTTAATAAAATCGAGTAATCTTAAAGAAAATAAACATAAACTGAATAGGCTTGAATAGGTTTAAATAAATATAATACTAAGTGGGTAATAATGCCGTTTGTAGATATGCCCACTAGGTCTGGGACCGTTCCTTACCCTATCCCTCGGAATTTTTGAAAGTTATAGCAATTTTTTAAAAATTTTTAAGAAATGAGATTATAACTTCAGAAAATTCGGAGAATAGGTCACGGAACTTCCCAGACCAAGTGGGAGTAGGCACGACATGAAGTTTTACTGAACCATATTTAAGAAAACTTAAGTAAACTTAAAGAGTGGACGCATAAAGGTGAGAGTGGACGATCTGGACAAGAGATCTAAATACGCCTTAATTAAAAATAGTTATGCTACTAGGTGGAAGTAACTGCCCGAGCGATAATTCGTATTTAGCGACTCTCAATCATATAATAGTACCCCTCAATATAAGGGATATATAAGGGTATAAGGGTACTACTTCCACCTAGTAGCTATTTATCTTTAATTAAGATGTATAAGCGATATAATAGAAGGAGTATATGTAAGTATAAAGGGTATATGGGGTAAAGGGGTATAATATAAGGGGTATAATGGGTATAGTATGATGGGTATAGTATAAGGGGTACAAGGGATATAAGGGGTATATACCTCAATATTCTTCCATCCCCAAAGGGGTACCCAAAAATGAGGTATGAAATAATTGATAATTTTTTAGAATCATATACTAGCTGGGTATAAAAAGCAGCCAAATTAAATAGAGAAAACCTTCCTTTGAAGAGCTACACCACTTTACGTAAAGCACGCTTTATGTGGTTTCGCCTAGTCGCTATAGGGTTTCTCCGCAGAAATGAAGTAAAATGAAGGAAAAATGGAAGTAAAATATTGTGTATTACCCGATTTTTAAGGAGTGCGCGAAGAGAACTTTTTATAATTTATTTAGCTTGTTGCTAATTTGTTTCGACAGACTAAAAGAATTTATTTGAAGAATAATTTTTATTAAAATACAAATTTAATGATATTTATGAGAAAAGTAATTTCTAAAATAGAAATTTACCTTAATATTTTAAAAATGGCTCTTAATGTAAACTTTCGAAAAAACTATTATGAATCCAAATCCGCTCTGGAATCAGGGAGAACCACCTATTTAGGTTTCGATGTTGCATGAAATACCTCATCTACATTGCTTCCGAAATTGTTAACTAAGTTAATGTTAATCTCTTCATATTGAAGGTTCAAAATGCAGATGCTCTTTCGAAAGAACTAAGGATTGTCCGAATCGGTATGCGGACATGTCGGGACTGACATTCGGGATTGGTGTGCGAAGAATAATTTCTTGCGTGTTTACGCTTATTCTAAAACATAAAACTATTCTTCGATGAGCAAAGATACAGAGTGACCCAAAAGAAACCGGGCACGCTATTTTTGGCATAACTTTATTTGAAGTAAAGATAATGAGATCAAATAAAGATTGATCTCATCTTTCTTTATTTATTATATACCCGGTTTCTTTTGGGTCAAACTGTAATTTCAAGATTTTGTGACGTGGGTTCCGAAATCAGTAGAGTAGCTGTTCTTACGTCCCGATCTGAAAGTTTTTTCCGATCTGAAAGTCTGAAAGTTTTTTCAAAAAATTTTGTTTTACCCCAATTCAAACTAAAATTAATACTCCATATATAGGTATTTTATACCGAAAAGTCCCGATATCGAAAAGTACCGAGCCTTCCCAAAATCTGTTCAGGGAAGCCTACGGTTACACTAGTTAAGATGCTTAGTTCTATAACTTTTTATTATGAGTTATTTATAAATTTAAATCTTTATTTATTTTTAATAAAAGAGATCAAATGATTAAAGCAAGAATTAAAAATCTGGAGATCTTCTCTTCAATTCTTTAAACAAAATTTTTTTACTTTTCTTCCATAAATTCTGAATTTCTTTTTCCAAAACGCATCCATTTTCCAGAGCTTGGTGCTCTCTGTAAATTTATTTTAAATTTAATCTTCATTTGAAAATTATGCACTCTAATTGTAGTTTCTACACTTGAACTTTCTTTATCGCCTAAGGCTATTTAATAGTGTTTCACCGGGACCCCGAAATTTTGACCGGGTCCAGTTTGAGTTCCGGATCCCGTAACCGGAACTTGGACCAAAAAAACACCGACTATAAAAAAGTAAAGTGCTTTAGACCGGACTGTATATGTCGTAGGATACTCGCACGAGTTATTTAGGAAAGGTTTCGGTCTTGAAATCATTGGAGTTTCACAGTAAGTTCGGTTTCGGTTTCTGAATTTTCGGCGTTTATTGGTTTCAAAATCCCACACTCAAATTGGATCAGGTTCCTATTCCGGTTACACTAGAAATCATATTCTTTTCGTGATCGCGATACAGTCTGTTAGGGTTACTTTACAATATATGAGTATGTCTTAGCCAAATCACTTGCCTAGAGGTTAACCAAATATATGAGGAACGTATTTTTTCTATTATTAGATGTCCCTTTTTAGGTCCGATATAATGTATTTTTATCAATTCTTCTCCCTGTAAAAGATACACACCTTTCCAAAACGCATCCATTTACTCTGTTGAGGCACTCGTTTGCCAAAACGCATCCATTTGACTCCATTCTCCCGAGCAGCCCGATAGAATGGGTCGGTGTTGTCAAACTCGTCCATAGACATTGAACCATCGAGCAAATTCTATAAAAACGGGATAATATAAGAATAAGGCTTCCACTTTGTTCAAAATATCGAATCCGTGACTCCCTGGCATGGTTCGATTCACCTCAACGAGCTGAGTCGAACTATACAAGCCGTCTCAAATTCGACAATTTTGAACGAAGTTATAGCTCTGCGGTACCTTGGGCTTGCGGTACCTTAACCTGCTCCCAATGATCATCTACCCTTCTCTCATGTCCCCTTCACTCTACTCATGATTTTTCTTTCGAGCTTCCAGCAATGGTTCCTTCTCCCTCTCACACATGTTCCCTTCACCCTACCCCCAATGTACCGTACCCCTTAATCTTCATCTCCCTTGATACTCTCATATTATCCACATTCTACCCTTAATTTCCCTTTACCCTACCATTAATATTCCTCTTAACTTAGTGTTTATTGCCAAATTTTTACTGGGACAAAATTTCTTTTTTATTCAAAATTTATTTTTAATATTCCTCTCATATCCAGACCATTTTTCATTTAAAAGTACAATTTTTTAAGGTTAAAAAAACAATTAGTCTTGTCATAAGGCTTTATTATTTTTTAAAAAAATTTTTAAAAGAGATATAACCCTTTGGGAATTTAATGTTCTTTTAATAATTCATTAAAGTATATGTTTTAGAGGATGTTCTAGACATAATAAAAATGAAAATAATACATATAAAATGGATTAGAATTTAAAAAAGTCCAGAAACATCATAGATTATAAGGAAAAATTGGATGGAAGCCCCTGACATAGCTGGTCCACCTAAAATCTGGTCCACATATATAGCTTGGTCCACCTAAAATCGGCATCGGGAAACAAGCTTGGGATATGGGCTAGCAAAAATAGAATCAATTCCTACCAAAACATCTTCAGCTATAGCTTCACGCTCTTTTTAATGTTCCCTTCACACTACCCTCAATGTTCCCTCCACAATGTTCCTTCACACTACCGTCAATGTTTCTTCGACATTATCTTCAATTTTCCTTCCACATCACCCTTAATGTTCCCTTCAGACTACCCTCAATGTCCCCATTCACAATACACTCAACTCCCTTTAGATTATCACTAATGTTCCCTTAACACTACCTAGTACCCTCTCACTACTATAATGTTCCCTTCAAACCATGTTCTCTTCACACTACCCTTAATGTCCCCTTCCGACTATCCCTAATGTTCCTTTAACACTACCTGGTCCCATCACACTACCCTTAATGTTCCCTTCAGACTATCTATGTTCACTTCACACTACCCTTAATGTTCCCTTCAGACCAGACCTGGGCGAAACTCAAAATTTTTTTCTGACGAAACGAAACGAAACAAAATTTTTTAAAAATCGTTTCGTTAACGAAACGAAACGAAACAACCAAAATCTTACGAAACGAAACGAAACAAAACGAAACATTTTAATATTCAAAAAATTTTCAAAACTGCATTTATTTCGAAATTATTCGACCTCAAATACGTTATTAGTCGACTATGACTTATAAATGATTTAGTTATTGGTTTATTTACAACAATTGTGTCCCATAAGCCAGGCCCGTAGCAAGGAAAATTTTCGGGGAAGGGGGGGGGGGTCAATCATTTTCGAAGCCAAATTTTTGGCGACGCTTTTTTTTAAATAAAATTGAATATTTTTCAAGTAAAATTTTATTTTAAGCGCCGCAGACGAAAAATTTTAAAATTTTGAAAGGCCGTAGGCCAAAAAATTCACCATCTTGCTCCATTGCCTACCCAAATTGTCTCCATATCTCCATTTCGAGAGGAAGGCGATATAAGCTAGTGCTTCGCCGGAAGTTCCGGTTCCAGTATTTCCGCAACTCGCAATCCGCAATTTTTAAATTATGATGCGAGTCCGGTAATAGAATTTGTCGTCGATTAAGTAATATGTATATGTGGATTAGGGAGTGGAGTATAAACGGATTTGTAGTATATAAGTAATTGCTATCTTCCTTTTTCAGCGCCGCAGGCGAAAATTTTGACAATTTGGGAAAGCCAAGAAGCCGAAATTCTTTTTTTTTCAGCGCCGCAGGCGAAAATTTTTTAAATTTTCAATAAAAGATGGTAAATTTTATAGATTTTGGCCTTAGTTTAGGCTTAAAAAATTGTTTCGTTTCGTTGAAAAATCACAGGTGTTTCGTAACGAAACGAAACGAAACAAATTTAAAAGTGTTTCGTAACGAAACGAGACGAAACAGTAAAAATCATACGAAACATACGAAACAACGAAACGAAACGAAACGTTTCGCCCACGTCTGCTTCAGACTACCAGCCGTATAATGATACCTCCCACTGATACTACTAATGGATCCTCATAATTAGAGTCATTATCCTTCAAAATTCACCTGATTAGCAGCTCTTTCAGAATAAGGCCTCACTTGCCTACTAAATTGTTGTTGCTCTTGAGTAGCATAAACTTGGCTATTTTTATTGTTAATTAGCAACAAAAATGTTAAAATGATAGAAATTAGCATAAATTTGTTTAATTTTGGAGAAAATTGGAAAAATGAATTTTTAGAAATTTTTGTTGAGGGAAAAAATAATTTTTGTGTTTGCTGCATTTTTAATTAGCTTTATTGTTTTTTATTGTCTTTTCCGGTGGTTTATAGCTTTGTTGCTTTTTAATGTTTTATTTTCTTGTTTTTTTCTTTAGAATTTATATAGGGCTATAAAATAGGAAAAATAATATTTTTTGAATATTAAGTACGTTAATATTGAATTAGGTTTGTAATAGACCGGAAATGTCCTCCAGTCACCTGAAGTGCTTATAACCTCGTACCAAGATTCGTACTCGTACTCTTACTTTGGTACGAAATACAGTACGAGTACAACCTAAATAAAGGCTATACGAAGTACGAGTACGAGCAAAATTAAAATATTATAAGCACTGGTCACTGGAAATGACTTGAGAGGGAGAGGGAGGCACAGAGAGAGGCACAAAGAGGCTTCACACTAGTATTAGCTGATCCGGAGAACTGATCTGGATATCCGTGACGGTTCAAGATATACGGTTCGTATACGGTTCTAGGATATCGATCCAGGTATCACAGATCTCCCACGATCCGCCAACCCTACTCCAAATTCCCCTACACGCTACGCAGGTGGAAGGATGTGGAAGGATGTTTCTTTCTCTCAGCCGGTTAGATAATTTAAATGCAAAAAACGGGATATAGGGAATTTGAAAATGAATAAAATATATGAACAAAACTTTTAAAATTAATTAAATATGTAAAAATAGCTAAAAAGGAAGTGAAATTGAAACTAGAAAAAAATAAAAATTAAGTAAACCATCTGCTCCCGATTTTGTAAATATTTGTTTTAGGCAATTTTCTGTTTTTATTTTTTAGTGGAAAAATAAAATAATAAAAATTGAGGAAATTTAGACAAATTAAAAAATTTATTTAAAAATTTAATTCTCTCGTTTTTACAACCAATACCCCTTCACTCTACCAATATCTTTTCACTCGTTAATATTAGTGGACGATTTCTGACATAATTAATTATGCCAGAAATGTCAAAAATTGTTAATAATGTCAGAAACAAATAATCAGAATTCTGAAGATTCCGAAAAAAAATCAGAAGAACAATTCTGCCCTCCCCCTTAATGTTCCCTTCACCCTACTAGTAGAGCGAAGGGAACACTTATTTTATTATGTCAGAAATGTCAGAAACCGATAATAATGTCAGAAATAAATAATAAAATTCTGGAAATTCTGAAAAAATCAGAAAAACAAGTTTAATGTTCTGCTTAATGTTCCCTTCACCCTACTAGTAGAGCGAAGGGAACACTAATTTTATTTTATTATGTCAAAAATGTCAGAAACTGATAATAATGTCAGAAACAAGTAATCAGAATTCTGAAAATTCTGAAAGATTCTGAAAAAAATCAGAAAAACTAGTTTACTCTCTTCATTAATGTTCCCTTCACCCTACTAGTAGAGCGAAGGGAACACTAATTTTATTTTATTATGTCAAAAATGTCAGAAACTGATAATAATGTCAGAAACAAGTAATCAGAATTCTGAAAATTCTGAAAGATTCTGAAAAAATCAGAAAAACTAGTCTGCGCTCCACCTTAATGTTCCCTTCACCCTACTGGTAGAGCGAAGGGAACAACTTTATTTTATTATGTCAGAGATGTCAGAAACTGATAATAATGTCAGAAAAAAATAATCAGAATTCTGGAAATTCTGAAAAAATCAGAAAAAAACAGAAAAACATGTTTACGCTTCCCCTTAATGTTCCATTCACCCTACTGGTAGAGCGAAGGGAACACTAATTTATTTTAATAAAGTAAATCTCAAAAATTTTTTGTATTTATTTTAAGGAGTCCTAATAGAGATAAATTAATTTATTTAAATAATTCTGGTTACATAGAACACAAAAATTCAAAAAAAATTCCAAGAAAGGACAACAAATTTAATTTAAAGCACAAGACAATAGCTTCCGGAAAAGGCAAAATTTGACAAAAAAAAGAAAAATTCAGAGAAAAATATTTTTGGGGTAGAATAAACAAAAGAATGAAGAGAATGACTAGAATAATAAAAGCCAAAAAAATAATCAAAAATTCCAAAAAAAATTATGTTCCCTTCACACTACCAGTAGTGCGAAGGGACAAATAATGGGTAAAAAAGTAAATTAACTTCATTTACTGCAACCTTTTTAATTTAAAAAAATTATTTGGCAGCTAATAAGGGTGACAGATGTTTACCCTTTTTGTTTAAGCTATTTTTTGCCTTTTGTGCTATGTACGAGAATATTGGTAGGGAAAGCTAGGACTAGTGGGCGGTAAAAGGGCTTTACTGGGTTCCGCCTATTTTCTCTCCCTTCTTTCTCGAGACTCTCGATTTTAATTAATTTAATTTTAGAGAGTTAAACTAGGGCTCAATAGTTACCTAGTGACTTGGATTTAATACTTATCTATCTTACCTTTACGAGTCCAATCTACAAAAAGTTGAAGCCGAAAAATATAAAAATCACGATCGCGCGCACTTAGTCAGCTGTAACTTTTAGTAGGATGATCCGATCAAATCAATCCTGCTAGATACAATAATCCTCACATCCATAGCTTTCGATTGATATAAGAATAATTTAAATAGGTTAGGAATCAAAAAAGTTATGACCTGAAATATGGCCTAGAGATTGAGTCAGGCTTTAACGAGTATTTTATTAGTAGCGACATTTTAGAGACTAAAACTTGGTGTTCGATACAATTTCAAGCTTCGGTACTAGACATCTAGCAAGAGATAGGATCTCCTCCGATTTCATCTAACGCCTTCAAACATTCGGAAGTGCTTTTAACTCTCACCCTCCCTCAATGTTCCCTTCACTCCACAGATAGAGCGAAGGGAACCTCCCCTCCCCCGCAGGTAGAGCGAAGTGCCCATACCTGACACCTACCAAACGGATTTATACTTTATCCCCTCCTACATCCCTATGTTCCCTTCACTCCACAGGTAGAGCGAAGGGAACCTTGCTTATATTTTATGAACAAATTCCCTCTATTTTCCACAGCCTGGTTAAACTAGCATTGCGTGTGGCAAAATAAAAAGGTCCAAAATATACACGCCTCGTTAATCCCAAAAGACCCTAAAAAGACATTTATTAATTCATTTTTCTTGCAGGCTTAAAGAGGGGAAAAAAGCTTTTTAAAAGCTTTACTGAATATTTTATTTAGTTTTTCTATAAATTTTCTTAAAATGGGCACAGATGGTCTTTGGCTGTTTTGCGTAGGAAGAGGGGATTAAAAATGTAAAAATAAGCCTAAATCCCCTGTCTAGTGTTCTTCCGGTTATAGGAATCAGCTTTAAGGCCCTGGTCCGTAACACCGTTCCAAGTCCCGCAGAACCGTCATCGTTCTATAGGAGGTTTTCCTATGCCCGTGTTTTTCCGGTTCCAAAAATCGGTTCCAAAAGCAACGGCTCCGAGAACTATGGCACCAGAACTGGAACCATGGAACCGGCATAAAGTCAATCTCTCTGGAATTAGAACCGCTGCACTGCCTCTGTCCATTCACACTATTCTTTATGTTCCGTTCGCACTACACTTGATGTTTCTTGACACTACACCGGATGTTCCATTCGCACTACCCTTGATGTTCCGTCACACTACACTTGAAGTTCCTTTTAAACTACACCGGATCTTCCGGTGTAGTTATCCGGAAAAATCCGGCCGGATCCGGTCCGGCATGAGTGTGAAATCCAAAATCCGGTTTCCGGGCCCGGAAAAATGATTTTGCCGGTCACTATTAAAGAGGTTATTTAGGGGAGAAATGGCCAAGAAGCCTAAATGACCAACAGGCCATTTAGGGGAAAAATATTACTTAATATCATTTAAATAATTAAATAAACTTTTAATTAGAAGAATTTTTTAATTTAAAAAACGAGAGAAAACCCCCCACAAAAGCAATAAAAAAACAATATTGCCACTAAAAAATATAAATTCTCAGATTTATTACAATAAAACGAGGCTATTTTTAGAAAATTTAATCTATTCTTTCTAAAAATAATGAAAAAAAAAGATTTTATGATGGCATTATCCCAAAAATGTAGCTATTTTAGGAGGGAGTGTATTTTTGTGTTTCTGTGTTTTTATGCTTGGTAAACAGTTTAATATGAGGGTTAGGCTGTTTTTGCAGATAAATTGGGTAATTTTATGGCAATTTATTGGCAAAAATATTTTTTAAATTAATTTTTAAATTAATTTAAAGAATAGCTCATTAATGCTAAAAATGTATAAAATTGCTAAAAATATTTTCTTGCAAGAGGTGTTATTAAAATAAATTTATATAGGCTAATTTTTGGTGTTTAGTGAATGACATAGAATCCATTTTGGAAATTTATTCAGATTTGAGGTTTTATGGGGTTTATGGGAGAATTTTACGAGGTTTGTTCCTTTAGCATTAACCTACCTATGTTCCCTTCTAACTACCCTAACAGGTTCCCTTCCCCCCCCCCCTATGTTCCCTTCGAATTACCCTACCTATGTTCCTTTCGCATTACCCTACCTATGTTCCCTTCTAACTACCCTGACAGGTTCTTTTCTCTCCCCCCCCCCCCTATGTTCCCTTGTAACTACCCTACCATGTTCCCTTCTACTTACTCATGTTCCTTTCACATTACTATGTATACCACGTTCTCTTTGCATTAACTGTAGTCGAAAGGAACATATAGCTTGTTGATTATTCATCCTTAGATTAAGAAGAGAAAATGCTGAATCCGATAAAGTATACAAAATCCTGTTACATTTATTTAAACAAAAATATCATGACCTGTGCTTTAGTTTTATACTTACTTAAACTGAAATTTGATATTTTTATAATGCCTACTTGTCCATTTAAAATGCTTTATAAATATTTTAAAACACATAAATAGAATCTTATTAAAGAAAAATAAGGCTAAAATAAGAATAAAATATAAAATAAATTTTTTAATGTTCCCTTCACCCTACCCATAGTGCGAAGGGAACATTTTTGGCAATATTAACCTTTTTAATTATAACGGGGTAATGAAAAAGTAATTTTCTAGGGTTAAGTAAATGATCTTTACTCTTAATTGGAGGCAAAAAGGCTAAGTATAAAAAAATTTTTTTAATAAAATATCTTTAATGTTCCCTTCACCCTACCCATAGTGCGAAGGGAACATTTTTGGCAATATTAACCTTTTCAATTATAGGTAAATGGGTTAATGAAAAAGCAATTTTCTAAGGTTAAGAATTTGATCTTTACTCTTAAAATTGAGAAAAAAATTTTCTTGCGTCAATGCAATCTTAGAACGGAAGAATTTCACGTGGGTGTAGACCAAACAAAATTAAAAATTAAATTAAAAAGGTTGCCAAGAAAATTAAAAAATATAAGAGGCATTTTAATTTTCTCAATAGGCTAGAATCTTTTAGAAAATTGGAAAATTTTTAATTAAATTTTGGCAAAAAAAAATAATTATATTTCGAAAGAATAAAGGATTTTACGGAAAGAATAAAAATTAAAAATTAATTTTCTGCAATTTTAGGAAAAAGGAAAAAATTGGGTTAATGAGAACAGCCACCAAATTTTATTACATGATAAAAGTAAAGGGAAGGATTTTTGGAAAATTTTTTTATAAATTATAAAAAATTTTTAAAGACAGAGTTCCTCCTGCCCTTCACAATCCGACAAAGATTCAGTGAAAACGTAATTATAATTAATTAGTTAAACTAATGTTCCTTTCACCCTATGTATCAGGGGTGTGCCGAAACGGATTTTAAAAAGCGAAACGCGAAACGCGAAAGGCGAAATTAAATTTAAAAAGCGAAACGCGAAAGGCGAAATTAAATTTAAAACGCGAAACGCGAAAGTAAATCTAAAAAAGCGAAACGCAAAAGTCCAAAAAACGCGAAAATCCGCGAAAGGCGAAACGCGAAACTCGCACACCCCTGCTATGTATAGTGTGAAAGGAACATAATAAGTTCCCTCATACTACTATTAATTTTTATGATAGGTTAGATTTAACAAATTGTTATTGTGATTGTTACCCTCACTTAATGTTCCCTTCACCCTAGTCATAGTGTGAAAGGAACACTGAAGTTCTTTTCACTAAAAGTCCGTTAATTTATGGGTAATAGGGTACAGCCCAAAATGCCGCGTGAGCATAACGGCGCAAAGCCATAACATTTCGAAAACCTGTCTGGCCCTGTCAAATTAGATCGATGAGAGAAACCGTTTAATACTAAATTTGGAGAGATTCAAAAATCTTGAAGCAAGTTAGGAACCATGAATTGTAATACAATAGGAACCATGAATTGACTCTTTAACTGTCTTTAATTTATGTTAAAGACCCGAGTCTTTAAGACAAAATTATGTTGCCAAATAGGATTTATTAAGCATTTAAATATTTTTTAACCCATTAGAAGCAATAAAAAATATTAAAATGTATTTTTTATTTTATTAGCTTTAGCCTTTTAAAATTGCTTTAATTTGCAAACTACTATTAAATAATTCATTATGCACTTTTGTTTACATGTTTTCAATAAAAATATTTGACATGAATTAAATTTTAAAATGATAAATTGGTTTATTTTGTTTCTGTTTAATTTGCCTTACTCTTTCCGGTTCCTAGGAACTCTTTAGATATCCTTATCCGGAGCTCGTTTTCATTAAAGTTCGGACCCTGCCCGAGACTTAGTTTTCGAGCCAGATAGCCCAGAAACGTGTATAAGGTGTAGCCACCGGGCAGGAATCGAACCAGCTACAACGCTGATTGTGTTCGCTCGGCTCACACCTATGCAGATAACCCACCTCTGAGCTACCGCGGGAACGACCACTGCTTACTCATTTTTTTTAAATTATTTAACCCACATCCAAGTGTTTTTAATCCAGCTATATGAATCATTATTACATTTAGTTAAAATCCAGTTTTTGGGTTTTTGAAGGTTTTTTCAACTGGCCTGAAGCAGTTTGAAAAAAATTCAAACTCTATGTTTCATCAAATGACGATCGGAATTCCGATTTCCGAGTTCCAATTTTCAAAGTTTTTTCCTTCCTAGTTCCGAAATTTTGGAAAAATTCCGAGTTCCAAAAATTTGAGCTGATTTCCAATTTCCGACAGTTCCAATTTCCGGCACCTTCGACATTTCCTATCGACCTCTGGTTTACATAATATAAATTATTATAGGACCAAATGCCCATTAAATGCACTTAAGCCTCTTAAACATTACTTCCGGCTATTAAGCATTAAAACGATTATAATTCAATTTTTATATATTTTTAGAAAATTTAATTAAATAAAAAAATAATTTTAAATGGGAATAAACAAGGCTGGTATATGACGACTTTAAATAGTCCATAAAACTTCTAAAAATAGGCAAAAATAAGTGGGCAAAATATAAAAACAGTGGGTGGCACGTTTAAAAGTACAAAATAACTTGAAGGGCATGGCTATTTAATTATGCATTTTTAGAACATTTTTAGAAAAATTAGAGGAAATAATGCATTTTTGAGTATTTATTTTGGTTAAATTTGGAAAAAATTTGGGAAGAAAATTTTTTGCAAGTGTCATCATTTGTCCTTTCTGCTATGTTCCCTTATCACTACACATAGTGTGAAGAGAACATCGGAATTTTGTGTAGCTTAAATTAAAATAAAAATGAAGGATCTGAGCATCGTGCAGTATTCGAACCTCCTCGTACTTATTGCTAGGCGCTTCGCTCACCTCGTACAGGAGCTCTACCACTGAGCTACTGGGGCATTGACTAATGATTTCTCTTTTCCCTTTTAGATCGTTTAACTAGGTGAATCGTCCTTACACTAATGAAGTCAGAACTCTGCTCCAAATCCTGCCAAAATTAGACTGGCTCAAATGTCAAGGTTCGATGGATGCCCAGAACGGTCCAAAGTTGGTGCTCTACAGCTCAGGTCATTACGAAAACTCAGCTTCGGCCTGAACCGACTCCAGAGCTTCCAGGAGCATACCCAGCACTGGATGAACTACCTGGGCATTGAACTCTGATGTTCCGTTCGTTCTAGGTGTAGTGTGAAGGGAACGTGTGAAGGGGGTGCCAAAAATTACCATCTAGTAATAACTGCCAGTAGTCGTGTGCCTTAATGCCTGCCTAGGGCTAAGCCTTTACTTATTATTATTTTCTTAATTGGAATTTTACTAATAAAATCGAGAATTATTTACAGAAATTCTGTTAATTTTCGGCACTTTCAGGCTATAACAGCTGAGTTAAACGTAAAATCCTCTTTGTCATTTTTCCCTCATAAAATTGGATTTTTTTAGCAAAATTTAGCTTAAAAAGGAAATAAAAAGGGCATTAAAAAATAAAAATAAAACAAGGCAATCTTTTTTCGTGTTTTCTGCTAGCTAAAACAATTTTACAAATTTTCTACGCAAAAATAAATTTTGGCAATTTTTAGCGTCATTTTAGGGTAAGAAAATAAAATTTATACCTAAATTTAGTAAAATCCCCCCTATCCTGCTAGCATTATTTTTGTTTTTAAAGGAAACAAAGTCAATTCTAACTGGATTTGTAAAGATTTTAAGGCAGATTTTGAGGCAATTTTGGGGAGATTTTGTGGAAAAATAGTGCAAAAATAGGTGTGGGATATATGGGGGAGTGATGCTTTAAAGTGACGTATCATCTGTCGACTATTTTATAGTGTTGGACCTTTTAAAAGCAATTGTCGCTTATAATGAGGGGTCTTATATTGAGGTATCTTAAAATGAGAGGGTATCTTAAAATGAATTGGTCTTATAATGAGGGATCCAATAATGATGTTTAATGTTCCGTTCGCTCTAGGGCAGTGTTAAAGGAACACCACACCCATTGGCAAGCGGTGCTTAATTGGTATTTTGTTTAGAATGTACAAAATGGTCAGTGGATAAATGGATCAATAGACTATCTTATAGTAAGGTTGTTTCAACTTTCAACTTATCCCAAGTCGACTTAACAAATGTTCAGATGCCTCCAATCTCTCAGTTATCCTTGATTATGTTCGCTCCAGAGTAGTTTGAAGGGAACACACTGTACTTACTCATACTCAATATTTTTTCAACATCTTGAAGGGGATAATTATTTGAGAGGGAGTCTTAAACAAATAGGACTAGACTTTGATAGGACTAGACTTAAACAAAAATTCCAAAGATAAATCATTCTCATTAGCTACCCCCACAACGTTAACCGACACTCCCAGATAGTTCAAGTATATATCTCTGATATAAAAAATAAATTTTATTCAAAAAAATTTGGCAAAAATAGAAAGTCAATTTATTAGTAATTAAATGAATAATATTAAAAAAAAAGTTGGGAGTGTTTATTTAAATAATTATTTTAAAAAATGTTTGGGGGAAGGTGTTGGCATTTATTAATAAAGGCGTTGGCGCTTAATTAAATTTTTTCTGTTAATTTTTTCTAAAAATAACTTTTCTCAATTTTCCCGTTTAAAACCTTCTATATTCTCCGATAAGAAAGGGGGAGAATTTTCAAAAAAATTAACACTAAACGCCAAAAGAGACGAACATTCTCGAGTTAATTAGGGCCGAACATGGTTATAGTGGTGATTGTCTTACTTGGTGTTCCCTTTACTCCAAAGGAACACTCAAAGGTTCTCTTGGAGTGGTAAGATTTCTAATCCTAATACTCTGGGGTATTCCTGTCCAAATAAGACGATAACCTTATACCTGGAGTTGGGGAAACGTTAGGACTAAAGATCGAACCGAGACGTGATCTCGGACAAAAATCTTGGTTATCATGAATAGAGGGTTTTCGAGATATTGATCTCGATCCACGTACGACCCTCTCAATCCGGTCTCTAGCCCTAAGGTTCCCTTCATCCTATAGCTCAATGTTCCCTTCACTCTATACATGGAGTGAAGGTAACATTGGGACTTTCCCCTCTCAAATATTTATTCTTGCATGATCCCTCCACCCTATACAGAGTGAAAGGAACAGTGGAACATTAAAAGGAACATTGACTCGATCCTCGTACGACCCTCCCAGTCCGGTTTCTTGCATTCTAAAACTTAATGTTCCTTCACCCTATACGTGGAGTGAAGAGAACATGTGGATTTTTCCTTTACAACTAGTTTATGTTCCCTCCACCCTATACATGGAGTGAAAGGAACATTTAGAACGTACCCTGTCAAATATTTATTCTTAGCTTAATGTTCCCTTCACCATATACATAGAGTGAGGGGAACATTGGGGACTCCTTTCCCCCCCCCCCCCCCCCCCAATTATTTTCATACTTATCTATAAGTGCCACAATAACCATGTTTGATCATCTGCCAATAAGGACGTGTAAATATGGGATCATTATTTTAGGGATATTAAAGAGGATATCAAAGTCTCGATTAAATTTGGGAATATTAGTCTCAATTAAAAAATAATCACGCGGAGAGTAAAGTAGAAGATTTTGAGGAAAACATGGTATTAATACTATTAGTTCTGGTAGAAGCATTTATTGATAACTTCTGATCCTTTCCAGTCAAGTGAATATTCCTCCCACCACCCTCATTTTGGGAAGCTAACGGCCTTCTCCAACGAACCATATTAGACGTATCCGAAGGGGATTGTCTCCCTTCTTCATCTCTACAACGCATGGCGATGGCTGTGCTTCCACCGCTGCTTTGACGGCGAAGTAGGGTGTTTGTCTTGGGTTCTGTGAAAATTGGAAGGGAAAATTAGAAAACTGAGAGGAGTTTCTAGGTCTGTCCCACTTACTAAGAACCCTCTGTTCGTCGAACAAACGATACTCTAGAACCCTATGGCTTCTAGATTAAATGAAAATAGTTGCCTTGAAATACCGATAGGGTTGACGGATTCTAGAGAAATCTGGTACCGAAATCCGACTCGGAAATTTACGGATAATCAGAAATTTCAGATCAGCTCGGAAAAAATCCAACAACTCTAATAATATAGAAGATATGTAATGTGAAACGAAATTAAAAAATTTTTTTTAATTTATGTTCCTTTCGCATTACATATAGTGCGAAGGGAACATCAGAAATATGTATGGAACACCAGAATTTTTTATACTCTTTCTGATTTTTGTTTTTTTTTGAATGATTCGGATTCTTTAGAATTAAAGAACCCCAATCTTTTATTTTTAATTTGTGTTCCCTTCGCATTACGTATAGTGTGAAGGGAACATCGGAAATATGTATGGAATACCAGAATTTTCAGTAACTTTTTCTATTTTGTTTTTTGTCAGATGTTCCGGATTCTAGAATGGAACAAATCCGAATCTTTTATTTTTAATTTATGTTCCCTTCGCATTACTATAGTGTGAAGGGAACATTAAAAAAATATTTTCTATTTTTTTGTATTTTAAAATATTAAAATCCACCTCTAGTCCAACGCCAATCTGACAGTTGGAGTCTACAGGGCAACTGCTCAGGCAAAACAGAATGATGGGTGATAAGCATAGGGAGTGATTGAAAATAGCGTTTTGAGCCCTTTTTAATTTTTTTTAAATTAAAAAAATTTTTTATAATTTTAAGAATACCCTAATTCTAAACCCATGCACATTTCGAATAATTAAATAATTTGCGATTCCTCTTTTTCGGGTAATTGTGCCATCTATGGGTTCTGGCACACGCATGGTTAGTGCTAGACATCTAAATTAAATAAAAGAATTTTCAGAATATTTTTCAAAATTTTTTAAAAAATTTCGGAATTTTTTTCAGAATTCTTTCAAAATTTTCAGAATTTTTTTAATATTTCAGAATTTTTTCCCAGAATTTTTTTCCAAAAATTTATTTTGAATTTTTTTCAAAATTTTTTATTTCAGAATTTTTTTTTCAGAATTTTTCAGAATTTTTTTCAGGATTTTTATCAGAATTTTTCAGAAATTTTCAAAAATTTTTTCAGAATTTTTCAGAATTTTTTCAGAATTTTTCAGAATTTTTTTCAGGATTTTTCAGAAATTTTCAAAAAATTTTTCAGAATTTTCAGGATTTTTATCAGAATTTTTCAGAAATTTTCAAAAATTTTTTCAGAATTTTTCAGAATTTTTGAAAAATTTTCCCCTTACCTCCGCCTACTGCCAGATAAGCGAAGCATAAAATGGCCGGGAGGCATTAGACAAAGCTGGTTGATAACATAATCTCTTTAAATTGAAATTTAATTATTTAAAAGATAAATTTTTAATTACTTTTCATTAGGCCTGCAAAAATAAGCAAGACGCTCCAACTCATCGCACATGCACTCTCCCAAGGGTAAATCCATTCTTTTCTGAAAATAGGGAAAATTAGAAGAAAAATCAGAATTTTATTAATTTAAATGATCAGAATAATATTTTTAAAAATCAGAATATTTTTTCAAAAATCAGAATTAATTATTAATAAGAAAAAATCAGAATTAAATTTCAGAAGATTATTTTAAAACCAGAAGAAAAAAATCAGAATTTTAGTGGGTAATTTAAATTACCAGTCTCAAAAAAGTTCAGAATTAAAAAATACAGATCCGGAAAATACAAAATCAGAATTAAAAATGAAAACACATAATCAGAAATACAAGCATCTGAAAAAATACAAAAATCAGAATTTCAGAAAAATGCAGAATCAGAATTAAAAATACAAAAATCGGAAAATACAAAAAATCAGAATTTTAATATTTAAATGACCAGAATATTATTTTAATAATCAGAAAAAAAATACAAGGCCAGAAAGAAATACAAAAATGAGAAAATACAAGAATCAGAAAAAATACAAAAATCAGAAAATACAAAATCAGAAAAGAAATACAAAAATCAGAATTTGTATTTTCCATGAAATTAATTTTAAATACACAATCAGAAAAAAATACAAAAATCAGAATTTGTATTTCACTCTATTTAAATTCTGAAAAAAATACAAAATCAGAAATACAAAAAAATACAAAAATCAGAATTTGTATTTCACTCTATTTAAATTCTGAAAAAAATACAAAATCAGAAATACAAAAAAATACAAAAATCAGAATTTGTATTTCACTCTATTTAAATTCTGAAAAAAATACAAAATCAGAAATACAAAAAAATACAAAAATCAGAATTTGTATTTCACTCTATTTAAATTCTGAAAAAAATACAAAATCAGAAATACAAAAAAAATACAAAAATCAGAATTTGTATTTCACTCTATTTAAATTCTGAAAAAAATACAAAATCAGAAATACAAAAAAATACAAAAAATCAGAATTTGTATTTCACTCTATTTAATTAAATTCTGAAATACACTTACAGCCTTTCATCATACACTAATTCATAATTTCCCTCTCTACTATGCCTCTCACTATAAATAGGTATTTGATGATAATAATTATTTGGGTAAATATTATTTGTATTATTATATCCATTATTATACCCCCAATTTTGTTGTTTTAGGGGTAAATTTGTTTCAAAAAAATTTCCAGAAGAGATGGAAGGAAAATTTAAATTGTAACATGAAGCTTCTTTTTTGGGGGGCAATTGGAATACTTGAGGCTTTGAGGAAGTAAAATAATTGCTGCTAGTAGGTGTATACGGAGGAGTTTGTTGCTGCTGTTTTTTAGGGGTAGGGGAACACGTAGAAGTTGAGTTAAATGAACGGAGAGGGGTTAAAGGCCATCGAGGTTTGCGAAAGTGGGCTGAAATTGGGGGAAAATAAATTTTGAAAAATTTTAAAAATTTTTTTCATATTTTTAGTTGGACCTCTTTATAAGACGCCCTTTAAGGCTGGAAAATTTGTAGCTTATAATGAGGTATATTAAATAGAGGGCATCCTTAGGCAGCTCGCCCCGTTCAAACAAGAAAGTAGGGTGGAGGGAACACGTACCGTTCGGACTAGTTTTCTGCGGTTCTGAAAATCATATCTCATGCCTCGTTCGGATGCCTCGTTCGGAGGCGTTCGAGGTAGGCTTAAGAAAACATGCCCATTACATATTAGCAGACCCAATGGCTAACTAACCTTCAAAAATCATATCCAAAATAGAAGTGTATCTAGCAGGGGTGTGCGAGTTTCGCATTTCGCGTTTCGCATTTCGCGGACTTTCGCGTTTTTTGGACTTTCGCCTTTCGTCTTTCGCCTTTCGCGTGTCGCTTTTTTTAATGACTTTCGCTTTTCGCATTTCGCGTTTCGCATTTCGCGGACTTTCGCGTTTTTCGTACTTTCGTCTTTCGCCTTTCTAGTGTCGCCTTTTTTAAATGACTTTCGCTTTTCACATTTCGCGTTTCGCTTTTTAAAATCCGTTTCGGCACACCCCTGGTATCTAGTATTGGACATCTTATAATGAGGTCCGAATGTACCTATTATTCATATTTCTTATTTAAATTTTATTAAAAAATTATAAATAATAGACCAGCTTCCCCATTCTGTAAAGACGTTGGAGTAGCTAACAATTGTTTCCTTTGTTCATTAATTAAAGGACTATTTTTATTATTTCGTAGTTGTTTTTGCTTCTTTTTGGGAGTGCCTCCAAATATTTTTTGAATTAACGAAGAGGTGGAAATTGTAAGCATTTGGGAGCGGCTGCGTTCGAGGAAACCGATGGAGGCGATTTTGTTCTGTAAAATTAAAAAAAAATTTTAATAGCGAGAAACTGCTAGGAACCCTCTAGCATTTCCTCACTGGAGAGGAGGAAGTGCTAAAATAAATCAGCGATTTTTCGAATAAATTAAATTCCGCGTAAACAGAACGGGCCAGTTTGGTGCGATAATTGAGTGTCCGCTTTGGCCTACTATAGTGTGTTTGATCGACCATAACTTTTTTGCGCCTGATCCGATTCGAATGAGTCGTATACCATTCGAAAGCCCTTGAAGAGTGGTATCTTTTTTCTAATTGGGTCGATCAAGTCTAAACGCTTTCTAAAATGTTATAACTCAAAAAATCTGGAAAACACCAAATAATTGCAAATATCCGGTTATATGTATTTTTTATAAAAGTGGAAAGACTTGATCCATTCAGTAGGAAAAAAGATGCCGCTTATTGAGGGCTTTGGAAAGATAAAAAAATATATTTGGATTAGAAGAGGCATAAAAAAGTGTCTGGTGCTCAAAAATGTCTGGCCTCAACCCAATTCTAGTGGGCGTTATGAAAGATGTTCAGTATAAAAATTTGATATAATTGTGGGGAGAACCCTTATGATCTGTGCTATCAAAAATTAATTTCATATCCATATCAATAATTTCCTCCTATAACCCTGGGTCCTTATATCCAGTTTTTTAATACTAAAATTAAATTACAAATATAGCTAGGGTTTGTGGCCTAAAAATTAATTTCCTATTCGTATTTGTTTAATAAGCCAGAATTCCTATATCCTGCTTTCTAAATAACAAAATTAAATGAAAATTTATGGGAGTACTAGTTTATGAGTCCAAGCAAAAAATAATGGGCGTAGGTCCCATGGGCGTAGGTCTCGAACATTAAGAAATGTTTTGGAACCATACCCCAACTTTGCAACCCCAAGAAGAATCCAATTATTTTTTATTGGACTAATAAACTAGACTAGAGTCCAAAATTGTTTGGCTCTTTGGCCATAAAATTAAAAAAAATTTTCCACCTTTTTATTATTTTTCAAAGGACATTGAGTAACATAATCAGACCCTTCAGCATCCACGCAAGCAAAAAAATTTTGCTTTTGTAAGGATAGAGGCGACGTGGCGACGTCCCTAACACTTGTAGTTGAAGTAATAATTTGTCTTCTAGGGGGAGAAGTTGGGCTTAAATTTAAAGGGGAATTTTGAAAAATTTTTGGGAGGGTGTTTAACAAGAAGTTAACCTGTTGAACATTTGAATTGAATTTTTTTCAAAATTATTTTGCTGTTGGAATAAGGAAGAAAGTGCAAATTCGATTTCCTCTACCTGTGAAAATTTGGGAGAATAAAGATTTTTTACTAAAAAATTTTTTTTGAAATTTTTTTAAAATTTTCGAAACTTTTTTCGAAATTTTGAAAAAAAAATTTCTAGAATTTTTTTAAAAACTTTTTGAAAATTTTTTCGAAAATTTTTTGAAATTTTTTGAAAAATTTTTTTAAAAAATTTTTGAAAATTTTTTCGAAAATTTTTTGAAATTTTTTATAAATTTTTGTAAATTTTTTTAGAAATTATTTTTGAAAAATTTTAAAAATTTTCTTCAATTTTTTAATTAAAAAAATTTTTTTTACTTAAAAACAAAATTACTTCAAGTGCAGTTTTTGTTCTAAAAACATGACATTGTTTCCTATAATTAATTCTGTGGTGGTTGTTATTCGATTGCCGCTCGCGTGTAATATAAGCTAGCTGATTAGTTTCTACACGGGCTACAACACAACAAATTTTGCTTATATGATGAGTCAGAAAGACAATCTAAATGAGAAAATAAATAAAAATTGATTAAAATGAAAATAAAAATATTTTGAAATTTTTTTCGAAATTAAAAAAAAAATTTTTTAATTAAAAAAAAATTTGGGCATTAGGGAACATTTTAAATTAAAGGAAAATACAATTTATTTGCAATAAATACAAATAAATAACACGAAAATACACAAATAAATAACACGAAAAATACATAAATAACGAAAAATACATTCCGGAAAATTATTTAGTTATACTTTTCCGGAATAACTATAATAATAATATTAAAAATAGAAAGAAACCCCCACTAAAATTATATGAAGAAAATACAAATTTTCCGGAAAATACAAAGTCATATCCATTAAAATACAATATTAAAATATATCCGGAAAACACGTATAAGCATCCGGAAAATACATAAACTTCCCGGAAAAATACAAACTCATATCCATATAAATAAAATATTATAATATATCCGGATTATATAAGCATCCGGAAAAAACATAAACTTTCCGGAAAATACAAACTCAAAAGTTATACTTAAATTTATATATTTGTATTTTCCGGAAAGCTTATTTTTGTATTTTCCGCCTGTTTATATGTATTTTCCGGATATATGTATTTTATTTGTATTTTTTGTATTTTTTCTAAATTTGTATTTTTCCTATAAATGTTGTATTTTATTTTGTATTAAGTGATTTTTAATCTTGTGAAAGATTAACCTATTTTTAATTAAAAGTTTATAATAGTGTTTATAATTGACAAATATTTTCGAAAAAATTCTTTTTAGCATTACACACATATTGGAAGTTACTATTAGTATATTTTTCAAATTTTGTTTTGTTTACCCTCGGGAATCAAAAGTCATTCATCCCCCTTCTCTCACTATTTCCTTTAAAATTTCAAAAAATTCCCTTAAAATAATATTTTTAAAGGTGAATTGCTTTTTTATAGTATTGTTGGGAATTTTTAAAGATTTTATAAATAGATAAAAAAATATTTCTCATGAAACTTTTTAAAAATATTTTAAAGCAATTATTTGCAAAAAAATGTTTAAATAATTAATTAAAAAGAAATTAATTTTAATATCTTCTTTCCGGAATATTCCAAAAAATAATTAACCGAGAAAATACGAAATTAAAAATATAAAATAAAAATACAAATACAGTAAAAATACAAATAAAAATACAAAAAAATACAAATAAAAAAATAAAAATACAATAACAAAATACAAAATACACGCAATTCCGGAGAAAAGAAGATGGAAGAAATCTGGCTCTTGACCTTCCAAAATTCTCAAAATTTTTGCCTGCGGCGCTAGACACAATGAAGGGATACAGAGGCTTTAGGAGAAATTGATGGATAGATGGATTTCTCCCGTTATCCTTGCAACTCCCCGATATCCCGTCAAATCCCTCTAAATCCCATTATATCCATCTTAATCCTCTGATATGCCTTCATATCCCCTCAATCCCTTTACATAAGAGGTGGAGTAAGAGTTACCTTGTGGGTTTGGGGATTTTGGGGATTATGAAGGATAACTTGGATAAAGTACTTCTTGCGCCTTCAACTAATCACGAATTAGATACAGAAAGTGAAGATAATGAAGATTAAGTTGATTTTTTAATAAAAATGTTGATTTTGAACAGTAATTTTGGATAAAAATGCTGGATTTTGTAAATTTTCACTTCAACCCCGACCCCCGACCCCGACCCCGAACCCCGACATTATTTTCAGCCCCGACCCCGACCCCGAACAATTTGAGCAACCCCGACCCCGACCCCGACTTTGTCAACCCCGAAAACCCCGACCCCCGACTTTTCCAACCCCGAAGGCTCGGGGACCAACCCTAATTTTAACCCAAATTTATATTGATTAAAAATTTATGCAAAAAATTTCCTTTGCATGTTAAATTATTTATTTATTTAATTTTGCATTTTTGTATTATTCTTTTTAAGCCTAAAGGGATGAATAAAAAAAATAAAAATTGTAAAAATACCCTCAAATACCCTCACAGAGTCTCTTCACTTCCCTTCAATTCGCCTCTCTAAAATCCATCAAAATGCATGTGCATTTTGAAGAGGAACGAAAAAACGGACAGAAAGCGACTGGCCTTTGTGCATAAATTATTTAGAAGGGACTGGGCCGTTTTGGCGCGGGGCCGTTTTGGCGAGCTTATAAGTTAGCGAGTTGTTTATCAAAAATGATGAAATTTTGTAATAATGACTCTCGTACCTTCATCTAAGTTCTCCAAAAATTTCAGAATTTTTGCGCAAGAATTTTAGAAATTATGGCCAAAAATGTTGATTTTCTGAAAAATGCCTAATTTTTCGAAGTCTATCGACTATAACTTCAGAAATATTCGATAAAAAATTCTGAAATTTCTGGAGGAGGTAGTAGAAGATGTTAAAGAAATTTGAGAAAATTTTTAAGAATTTTGGTTTCGCCTAAGTGCCAGTTTTTAGTTCCCGCGCCAAAACGGCCCGGCGCCAAAACGACCCTAACCTATTTAAAAGGGACAGAAAAAGTATAAAAATAAAATTTTCAAAAAAAAGACATTTTTGAATAAAAATAGAGAGAAAAGAAAATAAATGCCAAGACATCAAACCCCGAAAAAATAATTTTTTTATTTATTTTTAGTATTGAGGGAGGGAGTTTGGGGTGGGAATATTTAAATAGCTTCGATTCTTGAGGATATTACTGTCTTCAAGAATTTATGTAAATATAAAAGTGTATAAGAATTTGAATTTTGTGTTTGTTGTAAATTTAGATAGCTTAAGAAAGTGAAAAAATTAGAAAAAAATTTTTTTTGAAAATTGGGAAATTTTTTAAAATAAATTTATCTGATTTTTATTTGATTAAGCGTGATTTTTATTTGGAGGAAATACAAGAATAAACATTTTCCGGAAAAATAATAAAAATACAAGAATAAATATTTTCCGGAAAAATAATAAAAATACAAGAATAAATATTTTCCGGAAAAATAATAAAAATACAAAAATAAATATTTCCGGAAAGTAAATATTTCCGGAATAAGAAGAAAAATACAAAAATAAACTTTTTCCGGAAAAATAATAAAAATACAGAAATAAACATTTTCCGGAAAATAAAGGAATAAACCAGGGCTCTCATCGACAAAATACCAATCAAGAGTACAAAAATCTCGATTTTAGAGTACATAGGGACAAAATTTCCAAATTTAAAGGACACTCAAAATTAAATTAGAAAATATTTATTCGTCCTCAAATCTTTTATATTTCTCTCCTAAATGAATTTTTCTAATAATCTCTTGTTTCCACTGAGCATTTTGTGCATTTCATACACGACATGTCAAAATTCGCTGTCACAAGAAGTAAAGCCCTGACAGTCTTAACCTCAAGCAAACTATTTTCTTACGTCCATTTTCAACGCCGCAGGCGAAAATTTTGGGAAATTTCGGGGTTCTTAAGACAGATTTTTTCCATTTTTAGCGCCGCAGACGAAAATTTTTTAAATTTGGCACCCAAGAAGATAAATTTCTTCCTTTTTCAGCGCCGCAGGCGAAAATTTTGAGAATTTTGGAGGTCCTTAAGCTAAATTTCTTCAATTTCTTGCGCCGCAGGCGAAAATTTTTTGAAATTTAGACCCAAGAAGCTAGATTTCTTCCTTTTTCAGCGCCGCAAACGAAAATTTTGAGAATTTCTAAGGCCGTAGGCCAAAAAAATTCACTTTTTTGCCCAATCCTTCCCTAATTTCATTTTCAATCCAGAATGTTGATTTTAGAGTACATACTTTGAATAAAGTACAAATTCAATTTCGAGAGTACGGAGGTCGATTTTAGAGTACTGTACTCTCAAATAAAGTACGAATGAGAGCCCTGGAATAAACTGAATATAAAAATAAATATTTCCGGAAAATACAAATATAAAATGTAAAGAAAATACAAGAATAAACATTTTCCGGAAGAATATAGAGAATAAAAAGTACCAAAAATAAATAATTAATTTCAGTACAAATATACACAGCAAACTAGGCAGGGAAAATACAGGACATAACGGAATTGGAATTTTTGTTAGGTGGATAAGAGCGCTGACTAAAAAAACTCTCGTAAATTTGGGGTATATTAATTGATATTTTCTAACTGATATTTTTAGGGGTGTGTAAAGCTGGGATCCGACTGTATAATACAGCTGACTTTAACTTTTTCATAGGAATAAAAAAACTCCTTTACCCTCCTTTAACCTCACTTGACGGCTAAATAAGCTTTCGGATTGCGTGACATTTTTAATTTTTGAAAATTTTTCAAAAAAATTTTTTTTCCAAAATTTTTTTTCAAAAAAACAAAGGAAGCTTCCCCCAACGCCTTATTTTACTTACTCATTTATTTTTCCTATTTGTTTTTTTTTCTTTTTATTTTTTATCCCAATCCGCATATGCTGTTACTCTAACCACTAAATTGTGGATAAACTAAATACACGCCCAATTAGGCGCGCGGCCATAAAGGCGCAAATCCATAACTGGCTGGAAAATTTCTGACCCTTATCAATTTTGGTACCAATCTCTTCAGCTCGATGAGAGGAATCGTTTGATACCAAATTTGGTCAGATCCGGAAATCTTGAAGAAAGTTATGGCTTTGCGCCGTTATGCCCGCGCGCCTAATTGAGCTGTTTTTTTGTATAAACTAAATACAAAAAATCCCCCCTTTCATTCTACATATGGTTATTTTACTCTTTTATGGTCAATTGTGTCCTATAATTAACAAAAAAAAATAATTTTGGACAAAGAAAATTTTTCTGGAATTCAACAAAAATAGAGGGGAATAGGTCATTGAGGGGTCAGTACAGAAAAGAATAAAAATAGCTCGAAAATAAATAAATAAATCATTTTTCTGGATAAATTTTAGGTGGAAAAATAGAAAAAAATAAATTAAAAATAGAATTAAAAATATTTTTGAATTTAAGAAGAAAAATTAGAGAAAAAATTAATAGAAAAATGGATATTCCTCTCTCCTTAACTAGTTCAAAAAGCTCGT